AAGCTACACAGATAGCAAGTGAGAAATCAAAGAAACATTCCATGGTGAAAGAGAATTAAAAATATTGAACACATTGCCATAACATGGCACATTCACACTCAAACTTCTTGTATTTATTCATTATATTTACTTGTCTAGGCAGTTCTCTACCGATTTGTAAGGACGCATTCCAAAAGCTGAGCATTTTGACAATAGAACACATATATCCTTGGGATCAATACTAAATTTGGTAGCTGAGTTTACCAGATAGCCTCAGAAGCCTATTCTTAATCTATAGCAGAATGGGCTAGCCTTGGAAATTCACCACGGTTTATAACATTGTCACCCTGAGGAAAGGTATTCCAAAACATGGCTCAGAAATCATTTAGCCACCTTCCCTCCATGCTTTCCCGCACTTTTGGACCTAAGAAGAAGGCAACACAGTGTCTGGGGGGAATGTTCTGACCCTCCAGGATTAGAGATGGTCAGTCTCTGCGTGTTGTTTTATTTAATTAACTGTGCTTTGTTTTTCTAATTATAAAAGGAATGTATGCCTGTTGCTATAAAAATTAATAATGCAGAAGGTAAAATTTAAGGAGCCACCATGTCCCATGATTCTATTCTACAGCAATACCCACTGCTAACAGTTTGGTACATAGTCTTCTTATGCTTTTAATAAGTATTGATAACTGGCATTTAAAAAAATTTATCATATCATACATAGTATTCTGCCAATAAACACAGAAAAAGACATCATTAGCCCTCAGGGAAATGCAAACGAAATCACAGTGAAACGCCATTTCACACCCAACTAGAATGGCTATCGTCAGAAAGACAGATAATAAACAATGGGTACTAGTGAGGATGCAGAGAAGTTAGGACCCTTATACACTACCAGTGGGAATGGAAATTGGTAGCCTGGCAGTTCCTCAAAAGGTTAAAATATAGTTGCCATGTGACCCAGAAATTCCATGTCTAAATTATACCCAAGAGAAATGAAAACATGTGTCCACACAAAACTTGTACACAAATGTTCATAGCACCATTATTCATGCTAGCCAAAAGGTGGGAACAACCCAAATGTCCATCAACTGATAAATGGATGAGTAAAATGTGGTATACCCATGTAACGGAATATTATTTGGCAATAAGAAGAGATGAAGTACTGATGTATGCTACAACATGAATAGCTATTTAAAAATCACCCTAGGGGCACTCAGTCAGAAGAGTGCACGACTCTGGATCTCTGGTTGTGGGTTTGAGCCCCATGTTGGATGTAGAGATTACTGAAAAATAAAATATTTAAAAAGAAAAAAAAAAGTCACCCTAAGAAGCCAGACACAAAAGGCTCCATTTTGTGATTACATTTATATGAAACATCCAGAATAGGCAAGGTCATATAGAAAGAAAGTAGTCAGTGATTGCTAGGGCTGGGAGGAGGAGGAGGAATGAGGGAAAATTTAGGTTCAGAGGGTTTCTTTTCAGGGTGATGAAAATGATCCAGAAGTTAGCAGCAATTTACAACTCTCTGAATCGTACTGGAAACCACTGGAATGTGCATTTTAAAAGGGTGAATTTTATGCTGTGTGAATCATGTATCAAAAAAGTGTTATTAAAATATATATATTAGCTGTGTAATCTTGGGTTATTTAATCTCTCTGAGTCTTAATTTCTTTTTTCTATAGGGTACTGTGAGGTTCTATTAATATATATATTCAATACTGATATATAATCACTTATCATATACATAATCACTGATATATATGTACATACATATACATAATCACCAATATATAATAAATGTGTATTTATATCTTTATAATATATTTAGACATTTGTATATATTTATACATATATATAACAACACACATGGCACAGGACAAACTTTCTGATAGTGATAACTATTATGTTAAATTCTTTATGCTACAGCAAACCTCCTGTGGTTTTCTTCGGACATTAATTTTACATTTATTTTATAACCTAGTATTTTTCAAAATAGTTTGAGAGAACAACTGGAGCAGATAAACAGGATTTTTAAATATCAAGAATAATGATCTCGGGGCACCTGGGTGGCTCGGTTGGTTAAGCAACTGCCTTCGGCTCAGGTCATGATCCCGGATCCTGGGATCGAGCCCCGCATCAAGCTCCCTGCTCCTCGGGGAGCCTGTTTCTCCCTTTGCCTCTGCCTGCTGCTCCCCCACCTTGTGCTCTCTCTCTCTGTCAAATAAATAAATAAATAATCTTTTTAAAAAATAATAATGATCTTCATCAGTTTTAGTTGTTACAGAGCAAACCTCTTTTTTGATGTCTCTTTTATGTCTTTCCTTAACATAAAATAAGTAGTCATTTTTCTCCATATAATTTCCTCATCTTATATTTGAAAAATCCTGATTATTAAGCTACTGTTCATTTAGCTCTCTTCTTGATGAGTAAAGCCAGATTTATAACACTTACCTGACTGGTGATTTTACACTTATCTGCTTGGTTTCATTAATTTGTACACCAAACCATTCTAAGAAGGCAGGGCCCATGACTGTTTTTGTTCAACCCTGAATCACCAGTGCCAGCCCAGGGCCAGAAGCATAGTTAGAACTCAAGGAATAGTTGTTTAGTGGCACCTGGGTGGCTCAGTCTTAAAAAAAAAAAAAAAAAAAGAAAGAAAGAAATAGTTGTTTAATGAATGAATGGATGGATGGATGGATAGATATTATATCTGCTCAGTGAATGGCCTTCCTGTAAATGGGTGGTTCTCAGTGAGGGATAGGGTGTGGAAAGAAGGCATATTGTCATACAGGATACAGGTTGTCATATCTGAATCACCTAGGGTGATTTTTTTTTAAAGTTACCTGACACCTTCTCCCCAGGGTGTACCATACCAGTTCTTACAGGGTGCCACGTCTGGGGCAGGAAGGCCTACTTCACCCAAAAAATACCTCATACAACCAGTCACTGGTGACAGAAATTTCACCAAAGGCCACAAAACCTTTCATTCATAATCAGAGATTTAGATTAAGTTTCAAATACCTTCCACCAGTGTGATACCACTGACTAGACCAAGAGTCAACAAAGCTGGCCTTTAGAACTGCCTTGACTTCTGATATGGGTTATGACAGGAAGGAAGGGAGATAAATACACAAACTGCTGAGTATCCGAAGAAGGTGTGGAGAAGTGAAACACAAGCAGAGACACAGATGGGGAAGATGTTGAAGGCTTCATCTTCTTCATAATTTTGATAGCATCAAGCCTACCTTCTCTTGGGCCCATATGCTTTCTGATCTCAGGGTAAAATTCTCATAAGGCAAACTGCCCAGGTTTAAGACCTGCCTTGGCAGTCAGGATATGCCCCTGGTCCACTCAGTGATGTTTCCACATATGAGCCGGGAGGATAGCCTCTTGTCTACTGTGTGCTTCCTTTATTCTTATTTCCCAGCATGTGTTAATTTCTTTTTAACAGAACCCTAATTGCCAGTTCATGTTCACCTTTGATCCAGTTTGATTCCCAAGATCCTCACCTGTATGCAAACTCTATTGGCAACTTTTTAAAGTGTAAAAACACATACAGTGCATAGAATACAAATGAATAGTTTAATGAATTATTATAAAGTCAACATTTATGTGACTAATACACGGTTTACATTATACATTGAGTATGTATATACTATACATATATACAATATTATAATAATTTTATTGCATTTGAGTTAAACCACAATAGCAATGATTTCTAAAGGAAAAACAAAAAGAAATGATATATTGTAAACACTTTCAAAAGACCCTACCCGTGGCCTCTGTCCAGCCACAATTCCTACATTCCTCCCTAAAGGAACCATTATTCTGACTTTTATGACATTCACTTTTCTTGCTTTTCTTTTTTGTTTTTTAAGAGTTATTTATTTATTTGAGAGAGGTGGGGGGGTTCCAGAGGAAGAAGGAGAGAGAGTCCCAAGCAGACACAGAGCTTGACATGGGGCTCCACCTCACGACCCTGAGATCACGACCTGAGCCGAACCCAAGAGTCCAACGTTCAAACGACTACATCATCCAGGTGCCCTTTTTCTTGCTTTTCTTAATGGATTTATCACCTAAGTATGCATCTCAAAAAAAATTGTTTAATTTTGTCTGCTCTTGACCTTTCCACAAATGGAATCATACAATATATATTTCTTTGGCTGGATCTCTTCCACTCAATGTTATTCTTAAGATTCATCCACACTGGGGTGCCTGGGTGGCTCAGTCATTAAGCGTCTGCCTTCGGCTCAGGTCATGATCCCAGGGTCCTGGGATCGAGTCCCACATCGGGCTCCCTGCTCGGCGGGGGGCCTGCTTCTCCCTCTCCCACTCCCTCTGCTTGTGTTCCCTCTCTCACTGCCTCTTTCTCTGTCAAATAAATAAATAAATCTTCCAAAAAAAAAAGATTCATCCACATTATTGCTTGTAGCTGCAGTTGGTTAATTTTTATTTATATACAGCACTCAAGTGAATGAATGTTCCACAGTTCGCTTACACATTCTACCGTTGATGGATACTTGGTTTGTTTCCAGTTTCAGGATATTACGAGTAATACTGCCATGAACATTTCATGTACGTGTCTCTTGACGTCCATGTGTACCTATTTCTGTTGCATGTGTGTCTAGGAGTAGGATTCTGATAACTTATCTGGTGGTATGTGTATCTTTACCTTTATTAGATAATGTCAAACTGCTTTCTGAAATGACCAACAATTTACAATTGTTTGAGTGTTTGAGAATTCTTTTTTTTTTACAGGTTTATTTTTAATTTTTTTTAAAGACTTTATTTATTTATTTGACACAGAGAGAGAGACAGCGAGAGTAGGAACACAAGCAGGGGGAGCGGGAGAAGGAGAAGCAGGCTCCCTGCTGAGTAAGGAGCCCGATGCGGGGCTCGATCCCAGGACCCTGGGATCATGACCTGAGCCGAAGGCAGACACTTAACAACTGAGCCACCCAGGCACCCCTGAGAATACTTTATACCTGGTACTATCAGACTTCTTAATTTTAGCTTATCGGGTGAGAAGTAGGATCTCATTATTATTTTAACATGCATTCCTACTTCCCCTCTTTTGGGTACACTTTCTTTCCTACCATTTGCTCTTCCTTAACACTTTTCTCATGATTTCGTTTCTACTTACCAGCATGAATTCATTATCTATTGCTGTGGAGCAAATTATACCAAAAACTAGTGGCTTAAAACCATAAATATTTGTTATCTTTCACACTCATTAGTGTAGGTCAGGAATCCAGGAGTGCCTTGGTTGGGTGGTTCTGGCTCAGGGGTTCTTATAAGGTTGCAGTCAAGGTGTTTACCAGGGCCAGAGGATTCACTTCTAAGGTAGCTCACTCACACCCTGCAAGTTAATGCTAGCCTCCATAGGGCTGCTCCAGTGTCTTCATGCATGGCAGCCGACTTCTCCCAAAGTGAGGGATCTAATAGAGGGGCAGAGAGGAAATCACAATGCCCTTTCTGACCTGGTCTTTGAAGTCACTTCTGACATTCTATGCATTAGAAGAGAGGCACTGAAGGTAGCCTAAAATAAAGGAGAGGAGAATTAGGCTTCCTGTCTTGAACAACGGAGTGTCAAAGAACTTGTGTACATGCTTTAAAATGACCACACAACACCATTCAAAATCTCTTGACTGTCACCGTCTGGCAAGCACCAAAGTAATCATTATTTCAGGCATTAATGGATATTAAAATTCCTGGGCAAAAGTTTGATTAAAAAAAAAAACCAGAAAGTATGCATAGTCTCAAAGTATCTTCTTATAAGATACTTACTAATTACAAAGGGAATCGTAATAACTTAGTAAACACGACCTTGACCAAGTTATCAAAATTAACATCACAATAATGAGACATATCATGTTACTTCCAATATGATGCACTGAGGACACGTAAGATCATTTCTGTAGCATTCTTGCCAAAAATGCATAACTTAAATTTAATCATGGGGAAATATCAGATAAACTAAACCCAAGTTGATGAACATTCTACAAAATAACTGGGTAGTACTCTTCAGTAGTATCAAGGTCATGAAAGACAAAGACGGGTTGAAAAATTGTTCAAGATTCAAGGAGATTAAGGAGACAAAAAGAACAAAATGTGATCTTGGACCAGAAAAAAGCATATTAATCAGACAACTGGTGAAATTTGAATAAGTTTAGTAGACTAGTTTAAAGTGCTATGTTAATGTCCTGATTTTAATAATTGTACTGTAGTTATGTAAGATGTTAACATTTGGGGAAGCTGGGTGAACAGTATATAGGAATTCCTTGTACTAGTTTTGTAAACTTTTGGTAATCCAAATTTCAAATGTAAACAAAAAATAAAAATTATTATAAAAATATATATCTTTTTTAAAATGAGTATTGGGAACACTTTTTTTTAAAGATTTTATTTATTTATTTATTTGACACAGAGAGAGAGAGAGAGTACAAGCAGGGGGAGGGACAGAGGCAGAGGGAGAAGCAGGCTCCCCGCTGAGCAGACAGCCCGATGTAGGGCTCCATCCCAGGACTCTGGGACCATGACCTGAGCCAAAGGCAGATGCTTAACCAACTGAACCACCCAGGTGCCCTTATAAAAATATATATCTTAATTAAAGGATTAATAAAAAAATATGAGTGATACAGTCACATCAGAAGCTCACTAGTCTCTAACAGGAGTAGCTGCTGAGAAGAACTGCAAGAGTTTTCTATATGACCTCTATTTCTTCCCGCTTCTAGGCTTATTAGGCCTTTCTGGTGAAACTCACAATAGTTGTCTGTCTAAAACATATATCTGATCATGTCAATCTTCTGCTTAAACCCTGTCAATCAAGGGCTTCTCATATCTTAGAAGAAATCCATCCTCCCTAGCAAGGAATCCTTATGTCAATCCTTGGCTGTAACTATATAGAACACATTCCCTAAGACATGCAATGGTTTCTCATTTCTGGATCTTTGCATTTGCTATTCCCTCTTCTTCACTTGAAAAGTCCTGATTTTTCTTGGAAATTAATTTCCAAATGTCTATTTTTCTGTCTTTTTGGGGACCCTTTTCTCTCCAAATGGAGTTAATTGTTATCTCCTGCCTCCTATGGCATTTTGTAAGGGATCTCCCTTATAGTGTCTGTTGTACTCTGTTGTACGTAGGTGCTTATATACCAGTTGTTGCTTTTCTGGGTACTGTTAGCTTCTAGAGGGTCGGATCAAGCTCTATTCATTGCCAGCACCAGTCACAGTAACAAATAAATGGTAGATATATTAGTTGTTTATTGCAATGTGAAAAAAAAATCAAAGTGACTTAAAATTAAAGCAACTTAAAGCAATAAACATGTATCATCTAGTACAATTTCTGAGGGTCAGAAGTCCAAGAAGCAGCTTGGAAGAATAGGTTCTGTCTCAGGGTCTCCTAAGGCTTAGATCAAGGTGTCAGGTAGGGCTACAGTCATCCAAAGGCTTGACGAGGGCTGTTGAATCTGCTTCCAGGATGGCTTACTCATATAACTCTTGACAAAAGGCCTCAGTTCTGGTCCAGCTATTGGCAGAGGGCCTCAGTTTCACCACATGGGCCTCTTCATAGGTCACTAAACTGTCCTCATGACATGGCAGCTGGCTTCCTCCAGAGCAAGTGATCCAAGAGAAAAAGTCAGGCAGAAGTCACAATTTTTTTTTCAGTAATCTACCTCAGAAGTGACATACCATCACTTTTATTGATGGTCACACATAGTTACCCTGGTAAATGTGTAAGGGCACTATATAGAGCATGCATACCAGGAGGCAGGAATCCCTGGACGCCATCTCAGAGGCTGACAAACACAGTAGGCACTTATTCAATGTCTAAATGGATGGATGAATGAATGAATGAATGAATGAATGAACCACCTCTGGACCATATCCCAAAGCACTTAGTGATTAAAGAACCAAAACAAACTTATTTACCTTAAGGCAGTCTCAGCTATAATAAAGTCAACCCCAGACACTAAGACCACAAAAATCACTTGAGAGAGGTTCCCAATGCATTCATTATTCACTCAGTCTCCGAATTGAAGGACCTTATCGTTTTTCAGGAATATGATCTCAGATCAGGGTGAATGACCTGAGGTCACTAAGAAGATCAGATGACCCAGCAGTAGACTCCCTGTCCACTGAGAGGTTTAGATGAGCTGGATGCTGGATGCTGTTGAGAATGCTGAGTCTTCTACTATCTTCACTAAAGGGAGATTCATGTGTGCAGGGGATGGTCAGCTCATAGCACATCAAAATGTTAAGATTTTCCCTTTCCTAATTTTGGGATGAGACACACTTTCCCATTACGTCTTAATCTTTGGTATAAAAGCAGAACAAATAACTGGCCATCCCTGCAGATTTTTATTGAAGATTCTCATATTACTTAATAGCTGTGTACTTTTGAGAAGGATTCACAGCCTTATACCTTCATCTTGTCTTTCTGTCTCACACTAGTCCCCTGGATGGACCGTCCTTTCCTTAATGTTTAAGATCAATCTGTCCTAATTCTACCAGTTCTTCTAGTTCTAGCCAAGTATCTGCTCCTTCAAGAAGTTCCCCTGATCATTCCCTCCAGAGAGTTCACTTCCTTATTGGACCGACCCTATTTAACAATTTTTTTCCCTCTTGCAGCATTTGTTTGTTCTTGAAGGACTTAGGTATATTAGGGTGTGTCATACATATTTTAATCTCTACTTCCCCAAAATAAATATTCGTTCATTTTTACACACTAAATATTCTTAAATGAACAAATAGATACATTTGATTTCCTTTACTAGAATAACATTTAAAAATAACTCTTTACTCTTGAAAACTCGAAGGTAAATACTTTTGTAATATTCAAGCTATTTTTCAATCTTCTGTTTGTTTTTTGGTTTGTGCTTGCTTTTTGTTGTGATTTCAGCTTTTTTAAATTATTACACCCTTGAAGGCAGGACACCGATACCGTAAAAGTAATAGGTTCCACATGTGCCCTGTTGATGCATTTCCCCTTTAACAATATTAAGTTCGCTAATCACATTCATTTCTAAAGCCTTTTGAAAATGTGTATCATGCTTATGGGTGGCCACATTCCAAAGAACTGAATACGTGCTACAAAAGGAAAAGAGGCTTGGGGGTGGGGAAGGAACCCTTACAAGGCAAGAGAACTGAGCATGTGCGAGGTTCTGTACTGACCAAAGGAGGGCAGGGAAGTGCAGTTGTGGAAATATCGAGGAGAAGGAAAAGAGAAATGGAATTTAAGGGAGAGAGGGGAGGCTGACCACATTCAGGAGATCACCCAGAATTCACAAGTGGAGAGAGTGCTTTCAAGGCAGGATGCCTCTTCATCAGAGCACTGCTGACTCTTAGGACCTTTCTGACATCTCTTTAAGCAGGCCCCATCCTTTGGGGATGCCCAGACCAAGATATTACTCCTCACACTCAGTGACTCCTGAGATCCCAGCCCTTTACCTGACATATGTTCACCTCCCTGCATCAGAATTGCAGATGGTGGTGTGGGATGGTAGAGTCTGATGGACTTGAAAGAATTCTGGCTCTGCTCACTACTTAGAAGCTGGCAGGTTACCCAATGGTTTATAGCCTCAGTTTTCTCATCTATAAATTGGGGTTAATAATTCCTACAGTGCAGGTACTATTGTAGATCACAGGTATCACAGGATTGTCGTAAGGATTACACATTAATAGATATTCAATAAATAGTAACTATGAAAAGCAGCTTTGCAGGGTGGTTAAAAAGCATGGAGTCTGGATCTGGACTGTCTGGGTTTGAGTCTTTTTTTCATTACCTACTGTCTGTGTAAGTTATTTTCTGTGATTCACTTTCCTAATCTATCAGTCAGGTAATAACAGGGCAGCCTGTATCTCACAGACTTGATGAGAGGATACGATGGTTATAGGACAGTGACTGTCACATGAAAGGGATTCAGCAGGTGGAAATAGTAGTTGTTGTTGTTTTGATTTAAAAAGATGCAGTGGAGGGCAAAGGTTAAGACTGTGTGTTCTAGGGGTGCCTGGGTGGCTCAGTCAGTTAAGCTTCTGCCTTCAGCTCAGGTCGTGATCCCAGAGTCCTGGGTTCGAGTCCCGCATCAGGCTCCCTGCTCGGTGGGAAGCCTGCTTCTCCCTCTGCCTCTGCCCCTCCCCCTGCTTGTTCTCTTTCTCTCTCTGTGAAGGAATGGAAGGGAGGGAGGGAGGAAGGAAGGAAGGAAAGAAGTAAGGAAGAAAAGAAAGGAAAAAAAAGAAAGACTATGTGTTCTAGTGCTGAACTACCTTGGTTCAGACCCTTGTTCTACTCTTTACCAGTTGTATGATCCCAGGGTCTCCATTCCCTCATCTGTAAACTGGGGATAATAATAGCAGCTACTTCATAAGATGAAATAAATTCGTATGCACAAAGCTGATGCACGGTAAACAATAAATGTTAGCCATTAGTGGTATAAATTCCCATCAGCCAAAGCTCCAGTTTTTATGCATTTCTGTGGGTCATTTTAAAGCTTGATATTTTGTAAAGTTAAATAAACTTTAAGTTTATGTATTCTGTGGTGATTAACCTGAACTACCAGTTCCCTTGGAAATAAACCAGGCTTTTAACCATAAAAGGTTTTCAACCGGGTCCCAGCTGACCGTCTTTTCAGTGTCTATGTGTATAGCAGATGGTGAGTTGCATTTTTAAAACTGTTCTCTCCACAGAGGAGACTGTAAAGTTCTCAGAAAAATTAAATGCCCTCATTACAAGACAGTGCCATTGTCTCGGCGCCCTCACCCCCTACCTTAATGACTGGCACTGTGAAGTCCCACATAAAGGGAAGAGACCTCATAATTAGGCATGTTGGAGAATCTTCCCGGGTGCTACAGCCTGGGGTTTTCAATGACACACCAAAAGCCAGCCACTTCAATTCGCATTTTTACTTCGCTCGCCGGCTGCACTGCAGTCACAGTGCAAGTCGTCCGTTCAGATGCCGGAAAGGCTGACACTCCAGGAAACCTTTTTTCTTTTTTTTTTTTCATTTCTTCAGCCAATAATCTTGCAGCCCAGTGATGTCACCCAACAATTATGCAATATGACTTAACTGTTGGATAGGTGACAGGAATTCCACTGACACCAAGATCACAATGAAACTGCTTAGCTGCTAAATTAGTCATATTGTACGTTACCGATAAGTCACTTTTAAACTGATTAACTGCCAGTTCCAATAGCACTATTGTCTACTTAGGGAAGTCAGGGCCCCATCACTCACAGTTTAAATGATCACATCCAGTTATTCCAGCGTCTGAATCATGCCAATGAAGTGGTTATTGAACTTCATAACATTACAGGCCACTTGAAAAGGGACACAGTGTGAAAAGGAAACACTTTCTATCTTCTATTTTTAAGGGAAAATTTGTACAATATTTTCTGGACTGTAGCCTCCAATTAGTCATTCCATTCTCTTGATGATTCTCCAAATCCAAATAGCATGAGAATAGGATCCTGTTTCTCAGTGAAGACAGGGATTATTTAGCATTGTTTTTCTTTCTTCCACAAGTTGGCCTCTGTCCTACAGTTCAGCTACACTATGAAAGGGGACTTTTTACTGACTGCAAACCATGAGGTGGATATCACTTATTCCGTAATATCAGTTGTTAAAATAATGCTTTAATTTTCCCGTTTCAAAAGTAATACATGCGTGTTAGAGAAAATTTAGGAAATACTGAAAAGTACAAGGAAAGCCCCCACAATCTCATCCTCCCCCCCAAATCATAACTAGAACTTTGTAACTTGCTTACAATCTCAATAAAGAATGAATACAGCAGCCGAACAAACTTCCTGTCGGGCAGTGTGGTGGGTGCTGGGCATAGAAAAATAGGATTTCAACTGTCTCCCTTAAGAAGCGCACAGCTTAACGGTAATGGAGTATTTTAACACAAAAGAGGCATTTAGCACAGGCTGGAGAGAACAGAATGTGGAGTGGAGGAGATGGAAGGGATTATCAGAGCAGATTAGAGAAATCCTAGAGCAGGGCTACTCAAAGTGTGGTCCACAAGGTGACACCAGATCTTACAAGCCACCTACAGAAACAGAGAGAAAGCATTTAAAACCTTTGGAATATTTTGACAGAGTGAGTGTAGGTCTTTTGAATCTAAAAATAACTTTTTTAATTGGACTTGTATTTTTTAATTTCACTTTTGTCGTATTTATTTGTATAGTATTTTCAAAAGATCAGTCCACAGTGGATTCAAATTTAAAAATTAAAAGCTCCCCTGTCACTACAAAAACCACTATCTTTGGGGACACAATAACTTAGCTAAGTGTAAGGTAACCGACCGTCCTGGTTTGAACTAAACCTGGCAAAGTCCCAGGCAAACCAGGATGAGTTGGCCATCTTACAAGTGTTTTAATTGCAAGACAAAGTTAGCTTCGTGAGAGGATAGATCAGATGAAGGGGAAACAATCATCAAAGAAATAAAAAAGGAAAATTTCTCTAAGCTGAAGAGAGATTTTAGTTTTCAGGGCAAGAGTTCACTAATAGCAAGGTAGGGTTATTGCAAAGAGAGTCACACCTAGCTACATTCTGATGCACTTTCTAAATTCCCAGGATCAAGAGAAAAATCCTCTGAGATTACACACACATGGCAAAATAAAATGAACAAAATAAATGAGTAAGGTGGTAAAACACAGTATTTATAATATTACATTCCTTTAACATAAAGATATCTGCTTTAGCTTTCTAAGAGAGAAAATAAGGAAGAATTGCCATTTACATACAAATATAATAATGAGGATAATAAAGCGGAGATAGAAAACAATACTATGAAAAAGGAAAATGCCAACATGGTAACATCGTTAACATAATTTATATGATTTGGCATCAAATTTGGCTCTAAGCTTCCTGGTTGGTGATGGAAAGTTTCGGAGTCACAATTATTCAAATTGCTGTTACTATGATGAAGGAAGAATTATATATCAGACTACCAGTAAGACATGATTTCCTGGCACTGAAATCTAAAACAAATTCTCTGAAGGAGTTTAATAGTAGGGGCAATCAAGTGGTATGATAGACACTGTCCTCAATAGCATTTCTATAGCAAATGTGGGAGCATATTTCACATAAGTGTTTCTTCTAGGGATCCTCATTAATGTCAATAAAGGGTTTCAAGATGTAAAAATACGTGATAGCCTAAACACCTTATTTGATCCAAGGATAGAACTTAGAATACCCTAGAGGAGAAGATGACTAGTCACTTGGTGTTCTCCAAATATTTTTTCTTTCAGCCAAACTAATGTGATAACATAATTTGAGGTCTCATAATGTCAGAAAAGAAGTTACTCTGGTGATTTTGTTGCTGACTGGGGGGATATAAAAATTCCGGTTTCAAAGGAAATACAGTTAGACTTTGTACCTAGCCTTTTCAGTACTTTGATATTAATATTAATTAATTATTAATTAAATAGACATCAAATTTGTGCGAGATCAAGTTATTATGCATCACATAATAAATGTTATTTTAGTAGACATCAATAGCATTAACACTCAGTTTTACTTCTCTGGCACTCTCAATAACTTTAATAAATATTGTAACACTTCCATTAATGCAAATGGATTTGTTTGTCAAAATGTTGTTCTAATACCCAGTCTTAATAATTTTAAGGTAGGGGCCGCCTGGGTGGCTCACTCGTTAAGTGTCTGCCTTTGGCTCAGGTCATGATTCCAGGGTCCTGGGATTGAGCCCCGCATCGAGCCCCGCATCGGGCTCCCTGCTCAGTGGGAGGCCTGCTTCTCCCTCTCCCACTCCCCCTGCTTGTGTTCCCTCTCTCGCTGTGTCTCTCTCTGTCAAATAAATAAATAAAATCTTTAAAAATAATAATAATAATTTTAAGGTAGAAAAACTTCTTTCACATGCCATCTGTTTGAATGAGTGAAAATTAGTTTGTAAATCAAATATGTACATTTTGATCATTTTTTAGTATATGTATTTGGATAAACATAGTATTTATAAATATATAAGCACAGAAAAAAATTAGAGAGATATAATAAAAATGTTAACCCTGCTTACCTCTGGGTAGCAGAATTTGGGTCACTTTTTTTTTCTTCTTTTACTTGTCCATTGGTTTGAATAACTTGTATTATCTTTGCAAGAAGAAAGAGAATATTACTATTGTTCTATTTAACTGCACGTAGGGGTGAGAACAAGAGCTGTCTCTACAACATCCCTAAAGCACATCAGCCAGGTCATCTTCCTGCACCATCTACCTCTTGTATCCCAGTTGCCCTTTAATGACCTTGATGATGATTGCAAAGGTTGGCTAGTTTGAGAAAGCATGCAATTGGGGTTAGAGACAATCCTCAACTTTTGCCTCATTAGCAGCTATGTGACTTTGGGCATATTTTTACACTTTTGATTCTCTGGTTCCTCATTTTCAAGATCAAGATTGGATTGTCGTGAGCATAGAATGAAGTCACCGATGCATAATAAAACTCCTGGAACAAAATAGGTGTTCAAGAAATAGTACACGCTAATTTACTTGCTCCATTCCTGAAAGGATATGTCCTGTTTCTATGGACACCAGTTCACTTCCCTGTAGTATCTTCACCTAAACCTGGTTTTTAGTCCAGTGAAAGTGTTGGAAAAATAAGCCCACGTTCTCTCTTCCCATGTTCACCAGTTAGGAGTAGCAAAAGGGAGAAACAGGAAGACCTACTGAGTATCAGGCACCATGTTATGTGTGTTACTTTGCTTAAGGAAGGCTCCATAGTTTCCCAAACACTTTAACACCTGTGGAGTCTCAAGTCTCTACCTTCTTACTGACGCACTCACCTCTGGAGAACTATCTTACATCATATCATCATTCACCCTAACACAATCTCTTTCTTCCTGTCTTCATCGTCACAGACTCCTCCTGGTTGTGACATACAAGGCAGTTGCTTATGTCACTGTCACAGGTCACATTTTCAGAACTTCACGTCACATCGTTTGGGACCCTAGAAATGAAAATGATATGTTTCTATCACTTCTTCTACACGTCACAATATCTCCAATCTTTATTTCTTACATCAATGGCTTTGCAATCGGTCTCTCTAACCTATGTGAATCACGCTTTACTTAAACGAACTTTATTCGACATGGAGAAAATGAGACAGAAGGATAAGGAAATGGATATCTCTAATTATCAGGCCCCAGTTGGGAAAATGTGACTAGGTTTATCCTTCTAGAAAGAACTGACTCTCATCACATGTATATTGCAAAAAAGCATTCCAGTACAAGAATGTTTCTGGGTCTCTGACAATTTGTTCTCGTTATAACTTTGCCTCCGTATTTCAGACACAGAGAGTTAAGCAATGGTAGGGGGGCCTGAGAGACTTGGGAACAGGGCCTTCCTTTCTAATGATCTATTGCAGTTGTTACACACTGATTGCACAACAAAGGTTTCTATTTTCCTACTTTCTTTCTTTATCATGTGGCCATTATGCCTTTTTTTCTTCACTGTCTTATAACCTCACCCTTTCTTACCTCTTTTGCTTTTGTTTCTGTGACATAAAAACTCTAAGAAGGGAAATTGTTAATTGTGTACCTCAAAGCCCCAACTCTATATGAGCTAATTAGCCCTGTAAACATGACCCGCATCTCTTCCCCTGAAAGCTTTCCTAACGATTTATCTACTAAAGCTTGGGTTTTCTACGAACACATTTCCTAGGAAATGTCCCCAGATGGCATGTGATCTTTCCGTTTTGGACAAGCTGCCTTGATCAGGTGTCACCCAACTGACCTGCTTTTCTCTTCCTTTATTCTCAACACAATGTTGTCTCAACAAACTATCCGCTAAGTCCTGGTTTTTCTTCACTGAATTCCATTCTCAGCCCTAGCCACACACCACACCTGCCACAAGCACTCATTGCTAGCATACCCTTTATTCCCTCAGGATTCTCACAGGGCCTCTGAGTGACCTTGAAACTCCCTCATCATCTCGCCAGTGTTCTCCTCCAATACTTTGGCTGTGTGGAGCTTGGCTTCGGGTTTGTTGCCACCTCAATTCCTTTTTTAATTTCCAGTTGGCTGGGAGCCAGCCCTCTGCCCTTGACCCCATGCTCACCTTGCAAGCTACCTATCCAGGTCATCCTTTTCTCCATACTTCTCTCATTGTTCAAAAGAGTAAATCCAACCCAAAGCAGTGAAGATGAGTAATAGGGGAAGAAATCAGTGGGGGCTCCGGGATACTTTTAGATCATAGATCATAGAGCAGAAGGATCCTTGATGCCATCGAGTCCAATTCTGCCATTTTACAGATGATAGTGCCGGGAGCTCAGAATCTAATGTCATAGACCATTCAAATGAATCAGGACCAGAGCTACCAGGAAGAGCATTTCCAAGTGATTGAAATCATTAACTTTGTAATCATATATACATGGATTCAAATCCAAAGTTATGTGGCCTTGTACAATTAATTAAAACCCTCTAATCCATGGTATTCTTATTATGAAAATGGGGATGATGACACCTATCTTAGTGGATTATGAAGCTGGATATATGGTCATTATTAATTATTAACTAGAATCCAGCCCTGTTAACTTTTAGTCTAATGCTCTTTACAAGATAATGCTGTTATTATGGTTCTAGTGCCAATCCACCAAGATTCTATCTTTAATCTTTACTAATGATGGTGTGACTTTGAGCAATTTTTTTTACAAAACTGTGCTTCAGTTGATTAATCCATAATGTAAAGCTAATCATAATATCCAGTGTACAGGTGGTTGCGAGGATTAAGTAGATGATCCTTGTAAATATAGCATTCTACATAGTGTCTAGCATGTAGGAAACAACAAGACCTCGAAATGTTCAATATAGTCCCAAATGCCCGAAATGAATTCATGAATGGTCAGGATAATCTTCTGCCACATACCCTCAGAAACAGATCCAGGGTTATATATTTGGTTCTCTTTGGCCCACAGTGACCATATTCATTCATTCAAGCTGGGCCTCAAACAACAGGTAGCACCAGAGCATGTGGAGATGGAAGAAAAAATGTTTTCCACCAAAGCAACAACAGTGAACAAAGGAAAGAAAGGGCAAAGTATGCCGCAGTTCTCTCAAACATAAATTCTGTTTCAAAGGCTTCAAATTGGCTTTCCCACCTATAGTCTCATGTTCTCCTATCTATCATCCCTGCAGCTGCCAGAAATGAAATATTAATTTCGACATGATTATAATCCTTCCAATTTTCCTACTCCCCATCAGATTCAGAATAAAGTCCTAGCTCCTTAGCACAGCCTTTTGGCCCTGTCCCCATCTCTTGCCACCAGCCTTGCCATCCTCAGGTCCACTGCTCTGCCAACCACCCTGCCTGAACCACTTGTACAGATCCGAGTCATCTAACTCACCCTCAGCCCTTTGCATGGGCTGTATCCTTGGCCACAAACATTATATGTCCTACTTGGCCTTCAAGATTCAATTCAGAGGTTGCCTATGAGGAGTCTTCTATGACACCCTTTGCCCATCCCACCACTTCTGCCCAAGGGCAGCGTTCCTCCTTGGAGGTCCCATAGCAGCCTACATAAACTTCAAGCACAGCCGGTGACATATGGGATTCTGTGTTTGTATCTCTCTCCCGCACAAGGAATGTGCATTCCTTGATCACAGAGCCCAGACCCTTCCAAGGACCCATTATGTGTCAGGCACACTTGTAGGAATTGGGAATACAAAGAACAAGAGAGATAAAGTCCCTGATGTCTCAGAGCTCATGGTCCGGTGGGAGTAAATCAGACAATTAACAAAGTTAAATGCAAAAATAAATATTTTTAGATAGGGACAAGAGCTGTGAAGATAATAAAATGGCATAATATGCTAAAAAGTGCTAAGGGAGGGGAAGGACAACAAAGTGGCCTAATCACGGCATTTGAGTAATAAACTGATGAGAGGCCAGTCATGCCCGGGAATATCAAGGGCAAGATTTTTCCAGGCTGAGGGAAAAGTAAGAGCTCAGAATGCTTTTGAAAGAAGGAAGGGATTGGTTGGGATCTAGTCCAAGGCTGTAAAGGAGATTCAAGCACCTGCTGTATAGGAACCGGGATCATACTCACTTTTCAGTTCAGGAACGTAAGGCAGAGCAAAGCGCCAAAATAATCAGGTCCACTTTCGACTTGGGAACTTTGGGGGTCGGAGGGAGCAGTCAGGAGCTGGGATGAACTGGCGAGTGAAGGAGGTTTCTATAAACCAACATTTCCTGAAGAATGTCCCAGAAATGCCACCCTAGACCCCAGAGTCACCCTCAAGTCTGGGAAATACTGCTCCTCTCACACTGCTCTCCCATCCCTTACCCCCCAACCACTTGGGCACTCATAATATACTGTAGCATATTAAAGGCTTTGAATAATTCAGCATTTTGAAAACCTGGTTAATTTTGATTTCCCAAATTAATTTGACCATTGTATGTGTTTTATTTTGTTTTGCTTTGTTTGAACACAGCAATGCCTAAGTCCCGAGAATGAGTACTTCAGGAAGCTCTCGTCTATATCACTCTCCATAACCCACAAGCCTTGCTGTTGTAATTTCTAGCTTCCAATTCCATTTTGTTCAGTAGAAGCATTTAATAAATATGGAGGTGGGATTTTTGAAAAGATACAATAGTTCGGTTTGCAGGTATAAAAGTAAAGAGTGCAAGAGTCAATAAATCTAATTTCACCAATTTATTCACCTTAAAATAATTTCAACAGAACTGGGTGGCCCAGTCATTAAGCGTCTGCCTTTGGCTCAGGTCATGATCCCAGGGTCCTGGGATCGAGCCCCGCATTGGGCTCCCTGCTCAGCGGAGAGCCTGCTTCTCCCTCTCCCACTCTCCCTGCTTGTGTTCCTTCTCTTGCTGTGTCTCTCTCTGTCAAATAAATAAATAAAATCTTTAAAAATAATAATAACAATAATTTCAACAGAATTAAAAATCGTTAATGCATGTAATGATAAATATATGTGAATATAAACTAGTGTAAGTTCTATGAAAAACAAGAAGTCTATTACTAAAGGTTAAAATCCAATTCAAATGCATTTTTATGCACTGCAGATTAGTCGGATTTTCTAAATTAAAATTAATAGTTTTTGCTCAAGCTAGTGCAAAAAAATTAAGTTTACTTATTACAAATCAAACTTATTTTGACTGCAACCATTTTAAATGGCTAAACTATTAAGCACACTTTAAGATTAATTTTTAAAAATCAAATACATAAGACTTAATAATATAGTTAACAGAGGGGAAAAAAACCCATGCCAAAGACTAATTAATACCACTGACACTCTCTCAGTAACTAAAAGTAAGATTAATAACAAGTTCCTCCAATACCATTTTATATTATAATATATTTAATGTCCATTGGAAAATTGGCATTATGTTTCCTGATTGAGTTTATTCTAATAAACTATGCAAAATGGTTGTTCTGACCATATGGAAATGTTAAATTTCAATCATAAATTTCACATACATATCATCAGCATATATAAAACCCACTTCCTAAGTTTTAATTATAGCCATCTTTGTCAAATAACTCTTCACAAGTTTCCATTTTTCTAAAAACTTTACAGTTATGAGTCATGTCAAATAAAGTGGAGAACTCAAAAGAAGTTACTGAGGAAATGAATGCTAATAGTGTAATAACCAAAATGTTCATAATATAATGTATTCTCAAACCAAGTTTCCCCTGATAAATAACAAATAATTTGTTACACTTCCAAACTAGTTGTCAAAATATGAAACAGTAGCTTAATTATTCAGCTGATCAATGTATAGCTAATACAATAAGAACAATATCATTGTTAGCTAGAATAAACCTAAACCTCTCTGAATTATCACTTTATACAAGCCTTCAGTCAAAATTCACTTTTTCAAGTCTACCTTTGTTTGTCTTGTAACAGTCAATTCAAAATTATAACTAAGAATTTTTATCATATTTTAATACATGTGGCTGTTTTTAGCATCTCAGTATTTAT